GTTCAGTTTAACGAGGACAGAGAGGAAAAAGGACAATGGATGCAGGAGTCGCTTACGCGACTATTCTCCAAAATTCTTTCTTTGGGAAAGAATTTTTTTATCGGAAAATATAAAATTTTTAGAGAATTCGAAAATCCTTATCGGCCGATTAGATTGACTGAGAGCAAAGTCGCGATTAGGAGGAAACGTGACAGCTGTCACAGGAGCAAGCATTAAGACCATAAGTGGCAAGTAACCTTATCGCGACTCATCGACTCATCGAGTCACCGAGTCATCCCTGCAACCGAATGACTTTGCTATTCGTCGAGAGGAGCTAACTAACCCCAGACAGTTAATAGACTCGATTCAGGCTCCTTTGCGCCTTCCCTATCCGGAGCTTCATTCCGATCACGATCTTCATCGCAACTGCATTTCCTGCATTTCCTGCATTTCCTGGAAGACGCCCCTGGTTCACTTTATCTAATCTTACTTGAGGAGTTAACCCAATTTCGTTTTCGAGATTCCAATACTGAATTACGTTATCTATAGAAACGCCCGAGAACATGAGAAAAATTCAAAAAAGGAATCATACTCCTTTTTAACTCGATACAAGCAAAATCTTCATCAAGGTCGATGCAGCCAAATTTTCTTGTTCGATAGATTCTTATATCGACCTACACAGATCTATAGCGCATTGGTGATTGCTGCTCATCCATAACGATTTCAGATTATACATTAGTATACATTAATTGTGTCCTATACATATGCTTATGATAAGGGAGCGATCGAAATGACTATCACAGGCAATAATTAAAAATAAGAGACCGCAGAGAATAACTGATGCGTAATTTATCGTTAGGTCTCGTACATAAGAAAATCCTTTGGTGCGAGAAGCAGATTTACTGTCAGCGTCATCCCGTGCTCGGGAAGATAAGGAAAGGAGAGTGGAGTCTGCGAAGCACAGCCCACGAGAGACCGTCGAGTCAAGCTTGTAAAGCATTAATTATTATTATTATGAACGATCCCGTCGACCCTCCTGGAATTTATATTAAATCGAGAGTCGCAAATGTTGATTCGCAAAATAGTTATAGCGGCGATATTGCATTCTCACGGAAAGATAGAGAAGATAACCTGCTTCAATTTAGAATCTGATTTTCTTTCCACTTCTTTCCGGGCCCGATTACAGAATCACGATAGATGAGGCCATAATGGTTAATAGCACTCCGAATACCTAATCACTTGCCTCTGGAATTCAGAATGGGGAATTGTCACTGGAACTCATCGAGCTAATCTCTCACGGTTGGCTGACCTTTCGCTGTCTCTTCGATAAATCCTCATAGACTAGACGCTGCGATACAGGCTGATTTCGGCTGATTTCGGCTGATTCCGGCTGATTCCGGCCTATACAGGCCGTTTCACCAGCAACAGTTGATACCTAAATATTTAAATATCCTCCATATTTAGATGATCCGCTCCCAATGGACCACCCGGTATAACATATGTGCGATATAATACATGACAGCGCCATTATCTACTGACAGAAACGACTCGGGAAGGTTACTGGAAGGAGAAGTGCAGAACGTGCAGAGTCTGAAAATATGAAGTTTTTTAATGCGAGTCGAACGGCGTAATTTATTTACCCATGTCCGTGGATTATTTGAACTTCCTTTAACTTTGCGCAAGGTCGGGATTTAGCCAGCCAGCCGGCCAGCCAGCCAGCCAGCCAGCCAGGATAACGGACGCCTCCGCCGCTCTGGCGTCGTTCCCCACGAAAACTCTCCGATGATTCATTCTTCGCCTCTCACTATTATTCTTCCATGTCGCTCTCACAACTTTTCATACCTTCTCCGTCTCTACTGCATTATTTCTGCATTCTCTTTAGTCCTTTTTCTTCCCCGAGCCTCCGGAGCATCGAGTTTCCAACAAATACTTCCTTCAAAGGACTAATGGGATTTCTCGAGAATGGAGGCTCAAGTGCCGATTTCCTCCGAAATCCCAATTGGTGAAATTTTGGCAACGATCCATCCGAGTTCGACTGTTCACGCTTCGAGTATTTGCACTCGACACACTTTCCGGCCGGATTACTCGTCGTTAGGCTGGAGCACGAGTCGCGCATGGAGCACGAGGGAGTGTCTTATGCAATGCTATAATAAAGGTGTGCGCGCGCGCGCACGCGCGCGTGCGTGTTTATACGCACGGCTGAAAATTTCTACGTGCAAAATTCCAGATGCACCGATCAACCAAACGACTTGATATTTACACGAGTCTTGAGGCTTCGGATGAACATATTTCAGCAATTTTTGCAAATGTCTAGAACTTCCGGTTTGAAAACAGCGCACGTGGAAAACTCCGAAAAGTTAATGTCGTAGAAAAAACAAAATTCTGGATAAACCGATTATCCCGATATTTTAATGTTAGATTCCATAGAATTGTTTCAGATTATCGATTAAACTCGAAAAGGAGTTCGAGAAAGTTTCTAAGAGTTGAATAAACCGATCGCCCACACGATACAGCAGAGCAAAGAGTCCTAGGTAGATTCAATGGATTCAGGGAATTTGACTGGCAGGTCAAACCATAGAAATTGTTAGGCAAAAATGATAAATTATCCTTCTCCTTTCGTAATCGGATGAAAATTCTTGCTGGTTCTAAAGTAAAATCAGAAAAGTTTGCTAACGGATTCAAAAGTCAACTTTACGTGGCATTCAAACATTTTAATGAAATTTTGATAACAAACTTTGGTATTTCGTGCAAAGGAAACATGTATACGTTTTTCGTCTCAGTCCAGGACCAGTCCAGGACCAGTCCAGGACCAGTCCAGGGCCGAGCACAACGCCCGAAACTTCAAAGGAGTTTCTACAGCCTGAAACCCCAGTACGTGTCTTGAAATTTGCATTCGAGCTCGAAATTTCCTTGAGACTGTTCGCAGGAGGTATTTTTTTCACATTCCAAGCGGAAGCAAGAGCTAATTTGGAAAATAAGAAAGCGCCACGGCGCCTCTCCAAATTAAAAGACCGACTGGCAGTTGCAACGCGATCGCGGTTGCTTCCGGGGTTACTACCTTATTTTGACGTCGGAAGTCTGTTCCTCAATCGTCGGGATTCGTTGCCAAGTTGACCGTCTTAGTGAACGCTTCCGCTTCTCTCCCGTCCAGCTCCTCGTCCCTCCTCCATTAAACACGAGACAGAATTCGACATTCGACCGACGGATGGACCAGTTTCTCTCGAGAGGACGAGTTCATTTCCCCTTTTGCTCCGTGCGAATTCCCTACCGTTTACATTCGATTGCGATGCACCTATATGCACCCTTTGTCGTTCAGTGTCTTTTTTCTTTTTGAAATCTTCCCTCGCGATAGATACTTGATTCGAGATTTCTAGAGACTTTTTAATACCCTTACGTCACTCTTGATCGCGAGCGAACGAAGTCAAGTTTCCTTCGGGGGTCGTGGGAGAAATTTGTAAAATTGACACGAGGGCGGACGTGCCATTCTGCGAAATACCCCTCGAGCGAGAATATTCCATTGAATATTACATTGGGCCTTGGGGTGGTCTAAAGCGCCCGGAACGTCAGAGAGGTTCTTGCCATTATTTTCGAGTGAAAGCTACGTGGGCAAAACGCGAGAACGCGAGAACGCGAGGAACTGAGAATCGATGGAACGGAAGCAGGTAGAAGGGAGGAAAATAAGAGGTTTTACGTAAACCAACTTGGTTTCCGATTTATTTATGTATCGCGATGCGAACAATGTATTTTATCGAATTTCTACATCAGCTATTTCGATTTGCAAGTTATCGAGTGCTCGAGTCGCTTCGTTTTCTGAGGCGCTACTTTTTTCAGGTGAAAGGAAGTGACGTCACTCACAGGTCATTGATAACCAAACAGATCGAAGCAAGGAACGGCTCAGAATTCCAATATCGGCCGAAGGCTGCGCAGCTTGTCAGGAAAAATGTGTGTCTTCGGAACGACACGACGCTTCGATGCGAACCGGACATTCTTTGCCAATAATACCGACATTGGAATTTCTCCGAAAGTCTCGAAAAGTCCCTGAAATCCCAATTGCAGTCGACGCATCGTGCGCGAATCTGGCGAGAGCGACGAGATCAAAGAAATCTGGCTTCCCAGCGACGACCGACCGACTCTCCCTGCCGCTGAGTCTTAAGGGTCCATTCGCTTCCGGTTAAGCAGCCAATGAGATGTCGCCTGGGGCCAGCAATTCCATTTCATTGAAATATCCGGTGGTTCCTCTCGCGTGAAAACTAGGGGAGCCAACTGGCCCGCCGCTCGCATTCCCAGGGAGCACTTAAGATCCACCGGGATGCTTCGGATGCTGCGGATGCTTCGGATTCCCCGGACAAACGGTGGCTTCGATTCTGCGGCACAGCGCGTCGCGTGGCTTCAGTGCTTTTCTAACGCGAACGCCTCTCCCCTGTTTGGGAGTTCGAGAGTGAGACTCAGTGAGACTCAGAAGAAGGAAAAGATTTAAGGAAAACGAATACAAATACTTGTCCGCTACCTTTTCTTTATAAGGTCAGCCTAAAGTCCACTTTTTGTCCGGCCACCCCCAGATCATTCACACCAAACTGGCAGGCCTCCAATCAGCTGGTGATTTTTAAACTACGTCCGACGTCAGCGCGTCTTGCCCTTCCAGCCACGTAACGCGCCGCCAAGGGACGCGGATGCGTCTATTTCAGTTCTATTTCGCGTCGGTGTGACGGAATGGCAAGTGGCGAGCGATACGAGGACGTGGACTGAACTATACCTATAGCGAGCAGCGAGCAGAGATAGCGTAGCTCGAGGAGATAATCATTATTTTGTAGGCTTATGTAAATCGTAAAGGAGAGATACAGTAGGAACCAGCGGTAGTATATATAGGACGTGTCATCGAAGGACGCGAACGTCGACACGTCGTCGGTCGAAAGATGCGACCTCTAACAATGACCTACAGATACTATCTCTTCGTTCAGTCCATAGATATATCCCATACGGTAGAAGCAAAAATATACTTTTGTTGTCGTAGCTCTACTTACCAGGGTTCGCTTCGTCGTTGCGCCGGCCGCCTGAAACACACAAATTTTGACATTTTTTACAAGCGCTCTCTCTCTCTCTCTCTCTCTCTCTCTCTCTCTCTCGGTTCCGCTCTGCCCCCTCCTTTAGACTTTTGATCCGCAAGGGCTTTGCATTTTTCTATAGAAAATATTTGAAAAATGTCAACCGCGAAAAAGCAAACAGGATGGCCCCTCGCAAGGATGTAACACACGCCAATTGTATGTATTGTGTCCTGAGCATTCTTTGCTTTATAGCCTGTCTCTCTCCCTCCAATTGTCTCGTTCTCTGCAATTGTGTTTCTTTTCTTTCTCCCTTTGCTCCGCTTAACTCTATCGCCTTTTTTCACTCTCCGGGACTGGTATTAAATTTTCAACGCGGCTGCTACCGTGGACAGAAAATACGTTTTAAAAGGCGATAACTATAAATAAGGGAGAACTATAATTCTCTCCGCGCCGGGACGCCCCGAGATTCATAGATCCGCTACCACCCGACGTCATCCAATGCTATTCGACGCCATACGACGCCATTCGACTCCATTCGACGCCGTTCGGCGTCACCGTGTGGCTCCTTTTTCTTTTCCCTTTTTTCTTCTCTCTCTCTCTCTCTCGAACCTTCTCTATCCTCCTATTCTTTCTTCTTACGTCTGTCTCTTGCCTTGCATCCTGGAGCAGCCTAAGCTTATGTATGACGTCAGCCTGTCCTGCGTTCGTTTGACTTTTACTTGTTCCGCCACTAGTAAAATCATTACTCATTAGTATAGTATGTATAGAAAAATATGAAAATTCGAATTAAAAAGCGAATGCTGTATAACGTAAGCATATCCACTCGAACGTTAGATTCACGTATAACTGTTTTCCTCGAAGAATGTTGAACAACGCTGTAAAAAGATTCTTTCAAAAGTCTGTATTACACACAAGAAGCCAAATGAAAACTCCGAAAGTTACAGCGCATATATCACGCATAACAGCGCACGTAGTGTGTAACAGAGTAAAAGGGCCGAGTGCAGCTGCGCACCGCAGGGCTGGCCAATTATTCTCATGTATCTTCACAATGTAACCCTTGGACCTGACAGAACAGCCCACCATTCACGCGTACCAATCGTTGCTAACGTAAACATCGATAACGATCCTACATTTTGGCAGTATTAGAATAGTAAGAATGTGTTCTCCTCGGGGTCCCTTTTTCCCCGTTAAGGGAAATATCGGATCTATATCTCCCGTGTCGGATTTCCCTAAAGTACAATAACACGACGGTTGATCGATTTCCCAGGCCGCCCGTCGGGGCAAAGTGAAATTTCAAAAACTCACGAATAACATTCTTTATAATCTTCATAGGAAAGAAACAGCATTATCCTCAGGACGAAAACTGTCCTGCGGCTTTTAAAATCGAGCAGCTCAAGACTCGCGACCCGAATAACATAAAGAGCGAAGGAAGCTTCACTTTCGAAGCGAGGAACGTCAGCTGATCGATTTTCAATTTGAAAATCAATTTGATCGTCCTGGAAAACGGAGCTTCGAATGGCTGATCTCCAAGAGATCCGCGGCGCTGCATTGTGCAACGAGTGTTTGCTTTTCTCTAATGACTTGCCGCTAACGATCATGAACGTTTCCTCTTTCCTTCCTTAGTCTTGGTCCTTCTCCCCCCTCCCCCTCTCCCTCCCCCTCCCACACACACGTCAACCCACTTTGCACATGTCCTCGAAGGCACGTGACCTCGGGAGATCGATGCTTTTAATTGTGATAACGTGCGAAGGCGGTGGAGGGGAAGGAGTAGTGGGGTGGGGGGTAGAAGGGAAAACAGTCGATCAGGACGTCAACAATGGGGCAGTCACCTGAAGTGACACTGCCCAGAGGGAGTCCTGATCAAATTCGGGAAGCTTTGTCAATTATCAAAAAAACCCACTTGGATTCTTTAACTTCATACATGTAGAAGCTGCTGATAATGAAACTGATAGTGATGATGGGGTTGTAGGAAAAATGCGATATAAATCCTTGCTACATCAGATTGCCGTGTGCTATAATGATAAGGCAGAAATAGAGTGTAGCACAGTATAGGTAGTATGTACTATGTTCATTGGAGGGTCGGAGAATTGATCGTTGTGAACACATGTTGGCAGACAATTAGAAGAATAGTCTTGGAAAGCCGCCTTGTTTTCTTCTGGCTTGGGTGGGACTGAGGTAGCGTAGGGTTACTTTCATTCCATTTGGACGCGGCAATATGCTGGCTGGCGCGAAGGGCATATTTCAACGGGATGCCGCAAGAGGGACGCAGAATGGGGATGAGGAAGCCAGTGAAAGCCAGTGAAAGCCAGTGAAAGCCAGTGAAAGCTTGGATCGGTGCGAAGGGTGACTCCCGGGACAATGCGATCGGCGTAAGGCTGAAGCTTCCAGACGAATATCCTTTCACAGTAACACATATGTAACCGACCAGGGAAGAAAGAAAGGAGGAAAGGAATAAAGGAAAGAAGGCACAGACAGCAGGGCGTAACGAATAAAATATAATTTTTTAACCTCTCCTTAGCGCCCATTGTCATGGTAATTTTAATAGGTTTAATATACCGTGACGAATAACAAGCACAATAATTTTTGTCTCTGAATGTATCTTTATGTTTTTTCCAATGAATCGTATTTTCTCTTAATCAGGGGATGGACGTATCTGTAGAGATTTTTGAGCAACTCAAGTACGTCTAGCTCGAAATCGAAAGCGGGAGATTTAGTGGATTTTGAATTACGTTAAACTGTTCGTTGATTTCTTCGAAATACCAAAGACATGGGACTTCTTGGCGGGACAAGAGGCGGATTGTGCGATCGAACGGCAGAGCAACAGAGTGCACGTCGCAATATTAGAGCGACAGGAAGTGGAGCTGAAGTCACGAGGCAAAACATTCAGCCGACAATTGGACGGCTCAAAAGACTCAAAGGATTTTCTTGTACTGCACTTCATGAGAAAGTTTAACGAGCGACTTGCCAACTTATCTTTGATAAGAGCTGACTGGAAGATGCTGACGCCGTTGCGATTACGGTCAACTGAAAATATGACTGACCGAGACTAAGAGGTTTGCGCGTGGCTACACAGAGGCGGCTCAGACGTTCAGAGTGCGCGCACCCGCGCACCCAAGCACCCGCGCACCCAAGCACCCAAGCACCCGCGCACCCAAGCACCCAAGCACCCAAGCACCCAAGCACCCGCGCACCCAAGCACCCGCGCACCCGCGCACCCAAGCACCCAAGCACCCTCACACTGCACGAAAGAAGTTCTCCTTGACTTTCAGCCAAGGAAAATTGCGAATCACGGGGTAAAAATATCACGGTAAATACTCTCATTATTTTTAAACGATTTAAACCTGCTTCCCATTTTTATTGAGTAAAACATCGACCGCGTTTATATACTAGGCTTATGGAAGATTTGTGGCTGCGATTGTTCTTGGTAGACTTGAAAAAATAGTAGGTCAAAGTAATCCGATACTTTTTCTCTCGAAAATGACGAATTTTGCCTAGAAACGAGAAATTTCGTCAGAATATACTTATAAATAATTGATCGATCCAAGCTTCCTCAAGACTAATACCCTGTTTATCACAGGCTCCTGATTGTAAATGTAAATGTTAAAGATAGAGGCGATTCAAAATGCCTGAAATAATGCAAAGCACGTCTTCCCGAGTATTAACGACCGACCTGGCACTAAGTACAATCATCAGTTATTTCATCAGGACGCACAACGTCTCTGTGCCTAGTCTTGGGGCTTCGCTGGGTGACTGGTGATCCGGTCACCCAGCCAGCCAGCTGGTTGAACCTTCGCAAAAGAATCAATCGATGCTAAGGTTATTGGCAAATAACGAATCCGTTAGAGGTCACAGAATTCTGTTCTACTTGAGGTGAATGCACCTGACCATTGGCTAGAATCCAGCCGAAAGCGTTTGGCGACGACGGCGACGCGTACCAGAGACACGAGACACGAGCACCTCGAGTGCCGATGTTTTCACGAGAATAAATTAGATAAAAGAAATACTTCTTCGCGGAAAATTCAATTCCGACTTGGCCAGGCTTGAGGTCATTCGAAGATGCAGCGACCTTAGCTGGTGCGAGGCTGACCCGTCGAGAAGGTCGCCAATTCAGAGTTCTCGACGCTTCGGATCTCACGCTGAACCTGAAGAGCATCATCGGGGTACCTAACCGCAAAGGAACAACTGACCCCAAGATTCAACCTGATTACTTTGGTTCGGCGCGTCGATAGAAAAAGTTTCCATGGGTCCAGAAACAAGACGCGCTTGATCATTGTCCCTGGGTCCCTGGAGTCTGATTGACGGGCTTGACGAAAGGCGACTTGGCAGCTCCTGCTTATCCAGAGCGGCGACCATGCCGACCGGACGTCAGGAACTCAGACCTCGGATACTTTTTCACTCGTCTCTCGAAACGTTTTAACGTGCCACACTGGGTCGCTACTCTTTTTACTTGATTAACCAGCGGATCCTAAGTATCTCATTAAAATGCTAAATTAATTGTTCCGTAACGCCTCCAAGAATTCTAACTCAATGGTGGCATGCTGCAGATATCACAGGCAGCTGCTTACCTGTCTATAACGTCTAGCGTTAGGACCAGACAGAATATCCTGACGAATAAGTCTGCAATTAATCGCAGCTAGGATATTATCTAGATTAAGTCTAATGCGAACGCAGAAGTCTGCGAGCAGGAATCCTAGCCACGCATCCATGCGCTGTTAGGTTAGGTTAGGTTAGGTTGGAAAGCACGTGTTTTTCTTTAACGAATCATTGCTGCTTGATCGATCGCACCGATGGAAGCGAAGTCATGAAGTCTCGCACCGTTGGCGTTGTCACGCGCCAAACTGCCGTCGAGCGATCATTATGTCATTATAATATTGGCACGCATTCGCGATACTGAGTAATGACTCGCTTCCTTTTTCTAAGTCGTAAGACACGTTTTTCCGATATTTCAACTTCGTTTTTTTTAACTCCCGACCGTTCGCCTGCCTGAAGTCAGACACAACAGGGGAGTCCTGTGTCCTCTCGTACATACCTGTTGTACAGGTTCTTCGTAATGACATCTTGAACCGATCGATCGTCCCTCTTTCGAATACATTTCACGCCCGGTACACGATTGTCTAAAATTCTCTAGTTTAAAAAAAATATATTTTATATTTCCGCGCAGACGTTGTTAACGTTCAGGCAGATGGACAATGTCTTGAGAAAAGTTGTTTGGATTCGCACGCGTTGTGCCGCCGTGCGACACTTTGGACACCCTGAGAATTCCCCAAGGTCCTGGAGTCATTCCGAGTGCATGTGTTCAGCTGCGCTCACGTGGTGGCAAGCGCAAGCGTCACTGCGCATGCGCAGCTTCACTCACTTACGATTAGATCGCTGAGGTTGGGGGGCAAAGTGTTTGGACGCCGGTGCGTCTGGGCGAGCAGCGAGCAGCGAGCAGCGCGCTAACGTGCGCTTTGCTCTTACGTAAGAGCCATTCTTATCTCGGCTGTGATGTAAGGAATCATGGACCGGTGCCATAATTCAGAGGGGAAAAATAAGGTCGCCTCTCGTATACGTAAAGCGAGTAAAACCGCGTTGGCAACGTGCGGCACGCAACGTCCTCCTCTTTAGCTTTTTTTTTGCTTTCTCACACTCCGTTAGCGAGAGCGGAGTTCGGCCGTTTGAAGCACGCAACAGTAGAGAGAGAGAGAGAGAGAGAGAGAGAGAGAGAGAGAGAGAGAGAGGAGAATGGACCAGGGACCATCGAGGAGAAGAGATGGAAAACAAGTCCTCAGTTTTTGGATAGTTTCGCGAAAGCGCACGAAGGAATAGCAGAGTCCTACAGCAATACTACGTACAGCACTGCAGCAGGGAGTCCAACTTTGAGGATATTTCATTGGGTTCGTATTTCAGTTTGTCTCTTATGATTTGTATCCAGCTTCCCTCTTCCTAAAGATCGAGGTTGGTCCTATCGATCAGATTCGCTCAAGTGCAGGAGGACGAGGTTACTCGAGATTCGGCAGAACGAGAAGGCGCAGGAAAAATGGAGGTTTTAGTTGGTAATCGACGTGAAAAATGAATTGAGAGAAGCTGCAGAGGCACACTTCAATAAATTCACTAATTCCGGCCAGTGGGGGTTCTCGGTATTGCTTCGGCTGCCAAGAGTCAAGTGCCAATTATACAATTACGTAACGTGAGGGCCATTAAGTTTATCGTACTGTGACGCTGCGAAGTGACGAACGAGGTTCCCAATTTATTCAATTGGATGCAACGTGACATTTTCGAAGTTGCGAGCGCCCGAGCGTGACTCCTCCTGGTTCCCCAATTGCAAGACTTGCCCTTCGCTCGCTGCAATGTCTGCGCGACCTTCGAAATTTCTATCTGAGAAGAAAGGAGCACAGAGAGAAGGAGAGAAAAACAACTGAGGTTGTTTTCAACTGGCTACCTGTAGCCCCCTGGTGGTCTTTATCCGAATGTGGACGGTAGGACGGTAGATGTGTCGCTTCAGTTTCGTAGTCCTGCGAAAGCTCAACGTTCGTCCCGAAGATAGAACTAAATCCTTTTCAGGCGCTTTCAGCGCCGAATACACCCGAGCCCCGTGCAGTCGTACGGTCAAAGTCGAAGGCAAACACGTGCGTCGCTATTTTTCAGCAGTGGCCAAGCAGCGTGTAAATGCACACGTGAAGGCAGCAGGGCGCGTGCTGTCGTCTAGAGGAGACGACGGGAAGCGAAGGAGAAAGAGAGAAACAGGAGATAGAGAGGCTCTTGAGAATGAAGAGAGCCAAGACGGAGAATTTCTGAAAAGTAGAAACAAATGATCGGGTTCTATCTCGTTATTATGCCTATAAATTATACGACTACGAAAACATTTGCAATGCTCCTTCGCAAGATTCATTAAAGGAAAAAGCAATTTACTTATCCATCTCCGTAAATCGGTTCCCTTCGATGGTTTCCACCCCCGGTGGTTCCGTCAACAATCCACTGTTAGGCCAACCCCGAAACCCCGACGTAAACACTCTTTGTTTTTCTCTCTCAGGAGGAGAAAGGAGGAGGAGCGGATGAGATAGATAGAAATCGCACTGCTCTCCTTCTATTGTGCTTTTTAAAAAGCTGTCTACCGCAAATTCTAGGATGCTCTCTTAACCAATGTCTTCCGTCCAGATAGCGAATCGCCAGGTGTCATTTTAATTTTGCTTTTCGTGCTGCTGCAATTGCATTCCGTTGGAACGATCCTATTTTACGAAAATTCGTATTAAGAATTTTCGAACAAGAACTCCCCCCCCCCCAGCATCATTTACAATGCTTCCCCTCTCTCTCTCTCGTAGTTTTGCCTCTTTCATCAATACAATCAAGGACGCATTGGAAGTCCAACATGGTGGCAAATAAAGAACACGTAATTACTGCCTCGGTGTGGAGGCGGCTTTAGCGCAGACACAGACAGGCCGAATATGTGGCCGTCATGCACGATGATCCCAAACAATGAAATGGATGCAACAAACGTAGCGATACTATGCATTACGAAAATACACATATGGTCGCTGTGCTCTGTGAGAGGGAAAGAAAGACAGAGAAGCCCGTGCGGAGGGAAGATCGAGAGAGAAACGAAAAATAAATGAAAAAGGAAGCACGTTCCGTATATTGTAATTGTGCGCAACGTGGGAAGGCTGGACAATAGAGAAACACGATGGTCCACCTCTTTTAGTTTTGTTTTTCGGTGTTTTTCGTGTCTCTGGGCCGCTTGTGGATGTTCACCCTTCTGGAACTTGGCTTGGAGCTGTATCGCGATTGAGACTGAGGGCGGCTGGGGAGGTGGGAGGTGGGAGGTGGGAGGTGGGAGTAGATGGGGCTAGAGCGTCAGTATAATTTACTCACGGCGTACGGTTACCAGTTGCTCGACTATTGGTAACTTTTTTCGAATGGCGCCTCGTTCTACGGTATAATACCTTTTGCCCACAACTAACAATTAGCGGAAGGATTCGAAGAGAGAGAGAGACAGCGAAACACAAGCAGGTATCGTGTCTTATCGATAGTCTTGAGTTTATGATTCATACACGTAATCAAACGTACGACGTAACGACGTAACGTCTCTTCCTTTGAAATGGACCTCCATTAAAAATAAGAGGAAGTTGGAATAAGGATATATATGTATACTGTTGAAATAGCGACAGCAACGTCAACCCACGAGCTGCCGCTTGATAATCATCCACTACCCCGTGAATGAAATGCATTGGGATCGCAAAGGGGTTCTATTCGTCCCCGACCGCTCCTGGCTTATCTCAATGTTTCTGTAGATATTGATTAGCCAGTCAGTGACTCGATGAGGCGCAAACGAACGGTAGTCTGTTCCACACATTTGCTGTCTTCATGTAAGCGTGTATGATTATTATTTTCGAGCTTTGACTTTGGTATACCAATTGAGATCTCAAATTGGATTTTTGGTTTGAAGATCGTGGGAGATTTCGAGGCAGCTCGAATGGAAAGCTCAATGCTTTGCAATTGGATTACAAGAGCGATTCTGTAGGCGACTATTCCCTGTACTACAATGCGGCACGGTTTCCCATCGCGGCTAATCCATTCCTCGTTCAAATTCTATTGATTGACTATTTGGCATAGCTTCGAATTTCCGGAAGCTGTCGAGAGTACAAGACCTCCTGGCCTCTGGCACAAATCCCTCCTGATTGACGTAGGAACAGTCGCGCGATATCCGTGAGTGTCAGATAGCCATCTTGATGTGTGTCGGTACATACGAGCCACACTGTTCTATATAGACGGCAACGGCTACGCCTCCAGGTCGCGTTCAGCAGGCACCTTTCGCTTCTACCTATTTGGCTGTGGAAGAGCCGATGGATGGGAACTAGGAAGGAATTAGGAAAATCTAGAAGATCCTCCGAAACTCCCCCGGAACCCGTCTAGCGATCCTATCGAGTCTCTTATACGTGTGTCTCGCGTGTCAGGTATCCTTTCAGGAGTGATTTTTGGAAAGGGAATTAGAGGAGCGATGAGGAAAGGAAGGACGCTGTGCCGTGGAGGCGCCCTCGAAGGAAGCTGGAGGAGCTGATCCTAGAAGAGCTCATGGATGCTACCAGAAGACGAAAAGTCGAGACGTCGCGGAAGCTGATCCGATACCCAGGAAAGCCCCCGGCCGGTGCACGTCATGGTCGTGCACGTGAGTCGACTGAGCTGAACTTTCTCAGGGCTTATTGGGACGTGACAGGATCGGACTGGAGGAACCGGGACGACCTGGAAAGCATGCAAAGTGCACACGGAGGGAGAGAGCAAGCAGGACAGATTAGAATTGGTCATAAAATAAATAATATTGGGATTTTGTTTGACAGAAATTAACAAACAGAAACGATTCACCGAATGACCTGGGTACA